GTAATCTTAAATTTATAATAGATCTCGCTTAACTATCCGTTTAATTGCCCATAATTAGTTACTAATAAGTGCATTTTGATTATTAATTTCAATTTTCGTCGTTACTGATAATTTTTTCTTTTTACAAATATACATATTAGTATTATTATTTTTACAAAAAAGGAATTATTGGCTCATAATTGGGCTTAGGCCCACTACTGGAATTTTTGTCGACATAATTAATGTAAACCCAATCCGGCCCAAACTTGAAACATATATATAAAGTCGAATTACATACGCTTTTGGCTTTGTAAAGTGTTTTTTTTTTTTTTTTGATAAAAATTATATGTTCTTCGTTTCGACTGATTTGAAATCGCATCGTGCAACTTAAGTTATCTAGAGTCTTATTTGAAAATCTAATTTTCTAAAAAATTGGATTCAAAATTACATTGATGCAATATTGATTACACAAGTTACGTTAGGACTCTGTAACTTCGAGCTCATTGATGCAAAAAAAACAAATGATCACCATCTCTAATGACATCAATATCATCAATTTCTGCGTTTTCCGCATTGGTCACCATTTTGAAGCTTCCATCTCCAAATTTCTCACCTGCATAATTTCACGGTTAACACGAGAAAATCCGGTATCGAAGAGAAGTCTTTGTGTGTTATTATTGTTTCTTTACCTGCAAGCTTTAGTAGCTCTTCTATGGAAGCAGGTAGGATTATCAACTTCGACAAATCTTTTTCCCGCGATTTGAAGTGAATGGTAACTCTCCTATCTCTCGGTTTTGAAGCTTCGTATTGTTTTACCGCGATGCTCGATTTGCGATATGGATATGTTTCTTTTGAATGAAACTCAAATGAAGTAAGATCTGCATTAGAGCAACCTTTTTCATCGATTTCTTGGTTTTGTTCTTGCGCGTTTCTTGAATCGATATTTTCCGAATCGTTCCGTTGTAAATATTTGTGCCCTTGATCTTGATCACTAACATTTCCTTCTCCTCTCTTTGGACCTCCACCAAGCCATTCTTGGAGGAGGAAGTCTGGTTCGTTACTCGGATCATCAATCGCTATCGATTGTTGCCCTCTAAGTTTCTGCCACGAATAAAAACAGAGTTGATATTGTTTTAATTGTAAAGTGAAAACATTTTTTATTATAATCTAAGGTCACATATTTGGTATCTCTGTTTGCTTACCATGAAGAGATTGTTCATTATGACACGTCCATCTTCGATATGAGCTCGCATAGCACTCATTAGCGATGCTTTGCTTATTCGTAGTATTTGCGATAGTTCGGTTGTCCTAACAGTGAAAGGTTGTGGTGTATAACATAACACTCCAATCTCTCCAAATGCATCTCCAACGACCGCTTTTCCTTGAATCTAAACGAATATTCGGATTGCGGTTATTACTTATTTGATTATTTCGAACATTTATAGTGAAATACTCTGTTTTACTTACCTGATATTCTCCATCAACATAGGTAGTAAAATCCTGTACAATCACCATTATAACGAATAAAAATGTTTAGAAGGCCATTTCTTTCGGTAGTCCTATGATATTGTTATTGACTTTTCGATCTTTTAGGCCACTTACCACTGCTCCTGAAACCAAGATGTAAAGATCCGTAGGAGCTTCATTCTGTAGAACTACATCTTCTCTAGGTGGGAAATACTCGGCGTCTATATCTGAAACCTTGTTCGAAAAATCGTAACATCGAGGTTGTTAAGCTTTATGTAACAACATAACAGAACATGGAGAAAGAGTTTACATATGAGTGTTTTTACCAATTGAAAGAGGAAGTTGCGAGAAACTCCTTCGAATAAATAGACGTTTTGAACGATAGGGAAGAAGAGATAGTTTGCGATGCTTGACCGAATCGCTTTCGGTAATCCATTTAAAGTTTCTTGTTGTTTAAGACCTTCTGTTTTGAACTTTAAGCAAATGTGTGATAACATTTGGTCTTGTATGTTTGGTGGTAGTTGGTTTCTTGATGCAAACTCTGAAGCAGCTCTAACTGTATCTCTCTGTTTAATCGAAAGAATCAGAGAGAAAGTTGATAAAAAGGTGACCGAACTTAAGTCGAGAGAAAGTGAATCGAACTTACAAAGGTTCGGGTGCGGCTAGTCCAATGAACCACAAGATTGGTCATATTTCCAATGAGGTAAGAAGTGAAACCAAGGTTGAAAAGCATGAAAAAGACACAAAACAACATTTCTCTTGGATTCCCAGCATGTAAGTCTCCATATCCTGTTGTGCTTAATGTCGTAATCGACCAATAAAGAGCGGTCACATAGTTACTCCATAGGCTTGCCTCCTTGAAATTTGGATACACAGCTCCGATCCATGTTTTCGTTGGATCGGGATATCGATCTGCGATAAGGTAGTTGAAGCATCCAGCACAATGTACTGCAAACAAAGTGACCTGATATAGACATTTGTGGTTATATAATTCATATCAACTAGTAGCATTTTATAGATGAGAAGAAAACATTTTTTCTCTGTTTTCGGGTACTTACCGATATGAGTTTTGTGCATCGTGTCCAGAAATAGTTGAATCGGATATCTTTCTCAAGCCTGAAGCAAAAGCAAAATGATTCTTATGCTAATCTTCCAAATGGTAACTCTCTTACACTTAGAGAAGAAAATGTTTTGCTTCTGGTTTAGTATTGAAAACCGAACCTCGCAAAGAGCGAGCTAACTCGTCTGAGACGCCATAGCCTGAGCATACTAAGAACTCTGAATCCTATTTCACTTCCATTGTAATTGAAAAGAAGACTCAGTGACTGAAATGGAGCTGTTGAGCAGACGTCAAAGGCGAACCAAGTAGAAAGATACCTGAAAAAAGTAGACTTATTATACAAAAATATATTTCGTTTTAAAAAACCGTACTAGTTTTTTTCTTACCGTATAGCTATTTTCTTCGGATTATCGACTAGAAGGTAAGAGTGACTATCTAGATACGCGACGAAGAAGGTGAGAATGATGTCAATAGCAAAGAAGCCATTCACAATGTTGTCGATAACGAAAAGCGCGTCTTTCTTGTAGGTAATGAATGCAAACTCAAAAGGACAAATCCAAGCTGAGTAAATCACAAGAATGACCAACCACATCTCCCATGCCCTGAATTCAAAACATTAAAGACAAACAATTCAAGAAAACAAGAAAACAGAACAAGAAACAGAACAAGAAAGATGATGAAAAAAAGACCTGAAACGTGGATCGAAAGGAGAGATTATGTGTTTACGGAGCTTAGTTGATTGGTTTATTCTTGCTCCAAGAGATGGTAAAAGATCAACAGAGAGGAAACTACTTCGTTTGATTGTATCCATATTGTATTCTTCGACGCAGAATCTTTCGAAGAAGTTTCTTGTGCAAGAGATAGACATCTTCTTGTTTTTATGAGGTACTACTTCCTCTCTTTAACAAGGGTTAGTTATAAATATAGTAATGAAACTTGTGACAAGTTTCACAAGTAACTAACTTTTTTTTTTTGTTTCTCTCTCTTTCACGTTGGTTTCTGACCTTTACTACACCAACTTGCTCTGACCCATTTCTTATCCTTTTCTGAAAAAGAAGGTTGAGTTTTTATAACCGGCCGTTTCAATGCGGCAAAAACTAACAAGAAATGATTAAGAAGGTGAAATTAGAAGCGATATTCGCGGAATAGAGTAGTGTTGGTATGGAAGAGGAAGACACTAGAACAAGTTAAAGATCTCATTAAGTGGCAGACATTGAGATTTTCACAGAAGCAATGGTAAGAGAGGAAGTAAAAGATTTCGAAAAATCGAAGAAGAAGGAGGAGAAAGAGGACGCAATCTTGGTAATGGAGTTTCTATACTTGATTGAGATTGTGACTCCGAATGGGATATCCATTTACTTAGCATTTGAGGCTAATATATACACACAAAAGTGTGTATGTGTGTGTCAATGGAAAATTTGGTGTTTTTTTTCATTAGAGGAATCAAGAAATGGACCATGTTAAGGGCAAAAAGAAAAGATGGTCAGAATAGAATTTTTTTATAAGGGCCAAAAGGGATAAAAGATAAGTAAATTCTTTGTATTCGTTAAGTATCTAATAAAAAATACTTTACGGTATGCAATTTTTCAGAGCACTGATTTGGTAAAATGTTGAACACTTTACAAAGACTTTTAACTACAAGAAAGAAAAAAAAACAATTCTCAGATTCTTACAAGAACAGCTCATATGTAATGATGACAAGTGGACCAATCATAGATTCACACATCAGTTGTCTCTTGCTTTTGATTCATGTTTAGTCTAACTTTTAACATCTTGATTTAATGTTTTGATATTTTGTTTATGATTGCTCTAGACCGTTCATTTATTTAATTTAGAAATATTAAAATCCTTAATTACGCGTAAACATCTAATCAGAGAATCGATAATAACAAAAAAAACATCTAATCAGAGAATCTGATATGACATGGAAAGAACAAGAACGCTAAGTATATAGGTAAAGCAGACTATAAACTCTGTTTCACACTAGAAATTAATTATAATGGAAACATAATGAAGTAGCAAAAATCAAATCTTGTATTTCAGTGATAATGTTTTCTCAATTATGGAAGTTTTCTTAAATAATATATCTTTCAGAAAACTATTATCACGGTTGATCCACTTTTATCATGTTTTATTTTATATAGATACAAAATATATATTGTTGACTAAAAAAAAATACAAAATATATACTAGCTTAAATTACAAAAAAGTCAGATATATATTTTGTCCCTATTATTTTTCAGTAGAGACAATTTTGCTTGCGAATATATTCATGTTGTTTTGTGATTAGTCTTTCTTTCAAATTTCCACTCTAAAATTCTTACAACAAAATAATGTCTTACAACAAAATAAAGCATTTTGTATATAGCTAGCAATGTGATTATGATAGTTTTAAGATGAGTTCTTTAGTTTGGAATGTTCTATAAGACTTATTAAACATTATTTCTACGTGACAAAAAAACATTATTTCTACCGGTTTAGTTCTTCACTTGCAAGTAGCCAATTATTGTTAACGCCATAACGACTATTGTTAAAAAAAAATTGAATTTCTAATTCAAAACTAATTAGTAATGAGTGATTTTGTTCAAATTAGATTTGGACAATTAAATAAGTTAATTTATGGGTAATTTAACAAATTTATTTTATTTATATACTCCGTTAGGTTGGATTTATCGTAACTAACTGCTATTAATCCAACTGATTAACCATTCGGTCTAAGAGTCGATCGGTTAAATCTTGCACATGCAAAAAGAGACATTGGGTCCAAATTATTCAATATATTTTGTCGTTATTTTTCAAATGGGAAACATACAGGCTTTGGACTCAGAACCCATATCAGGTTGACATGGCATTTGAGTGAGAAAACCTTAACTTTTTTTTTTTTTGTCGTCGAGAAAACCTTACTCTAAACCGATATTTTCTCTAGAAATAACCGGGACTTTTTTGTGTTTTTTTTAACTCCCCACAAATGTATGATTTTAACTTGATTAATTAGTTGTAATGACTAACATTGTTGTTAGTGTAGACAACAGATCGGGACGTTTTGAGGATGCTTAGTCAATATGGTCTAATTTTAAATTTAACTAAAGTTCATATTATTTATA